TTTTCTAAGTTTTTTACATTATATGTTAGGCAGTATAATATTAATTCATGATTGGCTATAACATGCTGTAAAAAGAATATCTCTAGAGAAACTACACCCCCCAAATTTTAAGAATATATTTAAAAGCCAAGAAGAAGACAAAAATGAAATACAAAAACAAAATACTGAGTCCAAGAGGAGACAGAAAAAATGAAAAAGGAACCAATAAATGGTTTGTGCAAAATAAAACAGCAATATAGTTGAGTTAAATCCAACCATATCAATATGACATTAAATGTAAATGAACAAAAAACTGCAGTTAAAAAGCAGAAATTGTCAGTCTACATTACAAAAGCAAAATCCAATTTTATGCTGTTTACAGGTACATAATTTTAAATATTTTAAAGCAATTAGATTAAAAGTAAAAGAATAAAAAACCATACCATCTTGATAGACTCAGAAAAAAAATTTGACAAAACTCAACACCTATACCTGACAAAAATTTACAAAACTAGAACTTAGAATGGAATTTTCTCAACCTTTAAAAGTGGTCTATGAAAAATCTATAGTTATCATGTTAATTAATGCAAGAATGCATGCTTTTCCCCTAAACTGGAAACAAAGACAGGATATCTGCTCCAAACATTTATTTTTACTCTTGTATTGGAAGTTATAGCCAGTATACTATGTGAAGAAAAAAAAAATATTTAAAGGTAAAAATTAGAAGGAAAGAAAGAAAACTNATAAACGGTAAAATTATGTTTCAAAAATGAAAACCAAATGAAGACTTTTTTACTAAATGTAGCTGAGTTAGTTTATTATCAGTTCATCGGTACTATAAGAAATCTTAAAAGAAGTATTTCAAGCTGGAAAAAAAATGATACTAGATAGAAACTCAAATCTATAAAAATTAATAAAAAGCACTAAAAATAGAAAATAGGTAAATAAACAAAAATACTTTTATTTGCACATTTATTGATTTCTTTAAAAATTGGTCAACTAAAGAAAAATTAACCACAATGTCCTGCTGGGCTTATATATAAAAAATGAAGTGTAGGGCAAGTTCAGTAAGAATGAGAAATGAAAAAATGGAAGTATATTTTTCTAAGTTTTTTACATTATATGTTAGGCAGTATAATATTAATTCATGATTGGCTATAANTGGCCCCAACTGAACTGTGGTTGTGAATGCTTCTGCTGGAGTGTGAGCAAAACGTGATAAATTGTCAACAAGTCAAAGACCTTGGTCCTCAATTTCGGTTTTCTGTTGGGACTACTCTCTATGGGGAAATATTAAGCATCTAAGAACTGGAGTCACTGGCGTTTTTCACTTCACACTTCCGGAGAACTCTATTAAAGGCATAATCCAGGGCCGGCCCGGTGGCACACTGCTACAGTGCGCCGCTTGGGAGCACGGCGGCGCTCCCGCCGAGGGTTCGGATCCCACATACAGACCGGTTCCCGCTCACGGGCTGAGCGAGGTGTGGGTGCAACACTGAGGGTTGCGATCCCGTTGCCGGTCCCAGTGTTGTGATCCGTTGCTGGACACGAAAAAAGACAAAAAGGAAAAAAAAAAAGGCATACTCCAGGGATGAATTAAAATCTTTGTTTCTGATGTTAACAGCAAAGAGTTTTCCAAACTCTGATGTAACTTGCTTTAAGATAAAGGAATATCATACTTAAAATATGCCATTTCTTCACAAGCCCAGTTGGACCTAAGTTAAAATTTGTAAAGAAAGTAAGAGAGTAAACAGTTGACCACTTTTCTAAATAGAACATGTTGCAGGATTTTGATAAACTTGTTCTGTCTGAGAGGAGATAGAGATTTTACCAACCAAAATAGCATATTAAAAAAAAAAAGTGGCAAGGAGAAGGGGAAGGAAAAATAAATGTGAATTATCTAGCTGATGNGTATTTTTGACAAAGCTTCCAAAGCAATAAATGTAAAAAGTATTTTCTCTATGATTCCATTTATATGAGGTTCTAAAAGAGGTAGTATTAATCTAGAGTGAAAGAAATCCTATCAGTGCTTGCCTCTGGTGACATGAAAAAAACTTTTACATCTAGATAGGCATGTGGTTGTTACCTGTTATATGCATTTGTCAAAATTTATTGAACTAAGTCTGTGCATTTTCTTTTACGTAAATTATGCTTCAATAAAAATTTAAAAGGCTAAAGGAGAAAAAAGCAAAGGAATTTGATCAGAACATAATTTTAGTAATTTTATTATTTTTTTTTTGAGGGCTTTCCAGTGGGAAAGGTGGTATTTAAACATAGGAAAGGAACATAAACACACCTTAA